AACTGCGGCTTCTCCTAAGTTCACGACGCACGCATGTCCTTACTGGCAGGGAGGACCACCTCTTCACCAACAGTAAAGGGTTTCTTAGGGTTAGCAGTGCAGTTGGCCACTAAAAATGACGCTCTTAGTACGAAGTCACTTGAGGAAGTCGTGGTCATCAGCGCATGCTTCTGTTTTTTGTGTTCATGTTTTTTTTCTTTTGAAAAACTCCAAAATCCTGTCTTTTAGTGGAAGGTGCTTGTTCTCCTTGTGGTGAAGCAGGTTGGGGAAAGTTTCATGGCTTCTTTGGATAGCTGTCGCCACATGTTGCCCCAAACAGTCTTGGAGAATGTTAATCACCTGTTGCCAGGAACCCGTGATTTAGGTAGGGCTTTTGTTATTTCATGTAAATGTAGCTTTTTGTTGGCAGTCTTGGAATCTTCTGCTGTCTCCTCATTGGGTCTTTCCCCCTTTTCAAAGAAGCTCTCCAATGATACATGTTTTAAAAAAATTCATCTTGGCTAGAGTTAGCTTGTGGGCTTACCAGAACTGTGACTGAGACAAGCATGCATGCAGGAAAAAGGTGCAGACAAAAGTGGTAAATAAAATAACAGGGGGCCAGGCATGGACTGAAATAAGTATTGGATTCTAACTTAAAGCCTGCCGCCATGTGCAGCTGTACAAGTGAAGTACATCAACTAATTTGCCACTACAAACCCTACCACCAGTTGCAGCTTGTTCCTTGTCAGGCATGAACAGGTTTTTTTCTTTTCTTCTTTTTGAGACAGGGTCTTGTCATGTAGTCCAGGCTGCCTTGAACTCATGTATCCCAGGCTGGCCTTGAACTCAGTAATCCTCCTGCCTCAGCCTCCCAAATGCTGGGATTACAGATGTGTGCCACCATGCCCAGCTATAAATAGGTTTTCTTTTGTTGTTTTTGTTTTTTGGTACTGGGGATCAAACTCAGGACCTTGCGTTTTCAAGGCAGGCACAGGAACAACTGAGCTAAATCGCCGGCCCCAAATAGTTTTGATGTGAGTCTGCAAGCAGTTGATTTATTATGGTCTTCGTGTTATCAAACCTGTCTGCTAATGTGAGCCGGTATTTGTAGCTGTTCGCCAGTGCTAGGGCTATAGGCCCGATAGCTTATTTAGCTGACCTTACTAGTAGAATATAGTGTATTAGGTTGCACAGAGAATTTTGAGTTCTTTGGGGTAGGTTCAAATCCTATAATTCTAGAAATAAAAGGATTTAAAGCTCTATTATGTACTCTATCGAAGTAACTTTTCAGACATATTTCTAGGTTGTTTGTGGGGGTGTATGAAATAATATAATGGGTAAAGAGGGCCAGGGATTTAGCTCAGTGGTTTTGCCGCCTGCTGCATAAGCGCAAGGACCCAAGTTTGATCCCCGGTACCACAAAAATAAAAAATAAAAAAAATAATGGGTAAAGAAATGTGTCAGTAGTGGAAAATTTTTTCATAACAAATGTATGGGTTGGTGATATCGGAAACAGGGATATGAAGCTCCACCTCAAATCACAGGTATTAGGTTCTCATAAGGCGAGACCTAGATCTGTGCATATACAGTTCCCAGGAAGATTCCCACTCCAGGAGGATGTAATGTCACCGCTGATGTGACAGGAAGCACAGCTTGGGTGGTAACGCGAGTGACGGGAGAAAATACAGACCACATTTTGCTGACTCATCTGTCAGTCACCTTGATTCCTCACAGGCCATGGACTGGTACCGGTCTGCAGCCCAGGGTTTGTGCACTTCTGTTATAGAAGATAGAGCAGAAAGGAGAGGACGAGAGGTGCACAGAAAAGCCGGGAGTGTTAGCGGCGTCATCTCACAAACTAGAAAGTAAAGAATACTGTCTGTAGCTGATGCAAAAGAAAATAAATACATAACTTTGTTAAAGTTACAAAGGTAACCAGTGTATACTTCTTAGTAAGAATTACACTGGGAAAGTGGAGGACCAGAGGGGGAGGTGATAAAAACTGTGTGATGAGCTGAAGACTACACATGGTGTCTCAGCAGAACAAGCCAAGGAGTCGTGATGGTCAGGAGTAGTTTGATCGCCAGTCAGATCATGGGTGTAGTCCTCCTCTGTCTAGATTGTGACCATGACATGCTCACCGGGAACTTAACACTTCACTTCCTTATAAATAGCTTAGAGACACAGAAATGCAAAGATCTGATTGGAACTTCATTAACAAGTTATTTCATTAAAATCGTACAAAATGTTGAAGAGAGGCCAGGGATTTAGCTCAGTGGTTTCGTCGCCTGCTGCGCAAGCACAAGGACCCAAGTTCGATCCCCGGTACCCAAAAAAAAAAAATGCTGAAGAGAAATTGTTTAGAGAGATGAGGGTAATTATAAAAGAGACTGCTAAAGAAGAATGTGTTGGAGGGGACAAATAGGGGGATATTTAATCGTGTAATTTTATTTATTTATTTATTGGTACCGGGGATCAAACTTGGGTCCTTGCGCTTGTGAAGCAGTCAGAGTAACACAAAATTAAACTTTGTTTTAATCAAAATAAAATGACAAGGGCCGTGGGTATTATGACCCTCATTTTTATTTTTTAAACGATATATGTAAAATGAAAAAATGTGGAAAGTAACACGGAAATGTTAATGGCCATTGTCTCTTGCATGGTTTTCATTTTCCTATATTTTATATTATTATGTCATTGAAAAAACATTTTAAAGCAATGAGCCTATATTACAGTTATGAAGGGGGAAGTTATGGTGGCATAATGTATGAGAGTGTGGTTAAGGATACACTGCACAACCATGGGCCTGTAAGATTGTAACGATACTGAAAAATTCCTTTTGTCTGGTGACACTGCCTCTGTCACACACAGCACGGAACTCAGTTTGGTGTTGGTGTGTTACCAGTTGTGTAAAATGTAACATATAATTATATATAGTACATGATATTTGGTAATCGACTGTGTTACCAGTTTATGTATTTATTTTCATCATTATACTATACAGCTACTTAAAATTTACTGTAAAACTGTATTAGGCTTGCTGGGTGTGGCGATATAGGCCAGTAATCTCAGCACTCTGGGAGGCTGAGACAAGAGGATCACTGGTTGCAGCCCAGCCTGGGCAGCTTAGTAACTTAGTGAGACCCTGTCTGCAAATAAAAAATAATGAGACTTGGGATGTAGCTCAGTGTGAAGGCCCTGGGTTCAATCCCCAGTACAGAAAAACATGAGTGAGAAATACAACTAAAGTTTATAAAATAATGAAATATGAATGTGCCACACATGAGCTTTTGATCACCCTATCTTAGATTATAGAATTTATAGATATATTGAATATTCAAAAGAAACAGCCATTTCTTGTACCAGAACAAAATCCACATGGATAAGTTATAGAATGTTATACGCTCAATTTCTAAGATTACAAAAATCCCATAATTCATGAAGAAAAAGATTGGCAGATTTCTCCTCAATATGGAAACTATTAAAAGAGAGTCACACATCAGGATAGATACTGGCAAAATAAGTGACAGCACAAAATCTTAATTTACAAAGCTTTTTATTTATTTGGGGGGGGTTGGTATCAGGGATCGAACTTTGGACCTTGTGCTTGCAAGGCAGGCAGCAGAACCACTGAGCTAAATCCCTGGCCCTACAAAGCTCTTTCTAAATAAAAATACCGATGTGCTTATGCTTTGAAGTTAAGAAAAAGCAAACCCAGAGGTTGTAAGCATGAGGCAGACATCGGGAGTCGGTGGACAGGGGCTGGTCTCATCCCCCTGGGAACCAAGGCCGCCGGTGCTGTAGTTCATCCGTCACACGTGCATGGGATGAGAAGCATACTGCCAGGGTCTTAGGCTGATGTTAGAGAAAAATAAATCCTGGTCTTAGACTTTTTCTAGAAAGCAGTTTGGTACAATGTGTGTTAAACCCTAAAATGAACTTTTTCTCACTTATTTTAAGTGTTCTCTTACAGGTTTGTTGATTTATTTGTACCACTCATATATAATGTTGAAGTAACTTTGCCAGTCATTTCCTGAATTAGGGAGTTGCTAACTTAGATGATTAAGACATTATTGGGACTTAATTTCATAACATTTAAGCTGTGAATATGATCCTTTTATACTTTTATATACAAGATTAAAGTTCAGTGTGTGTTTTGCACATTTCACATTGAGAATATTTAATACAATTTTTTAGTTGTTGGAGATGTTTAATAGCTTGAGGGCTTGATAATTTCTAAACACAGGAGTGTTCCTTGAAGTTTGCATGTTAAACTACAAGGTTATTTAAAAACACAACAAAAAAGTCCAAAAATAGTGCTGCTGGAGATAACATCGTTAAGAAATTATCTGGTATAACTGAGTTTATCTAAGGTGAGTGAAAATGAGCCCGGGCTACTGGGTGGAAACTTTAAACTACTAGTGAGAATGGTAGTGAAGCTGAGTAGCTAGGTGAGTACAAGTTCCTGAGTCTGCTGAGCAGAGGGCGGGGCACAGCCACGTGCTCCTATAGTCTCAGCTGCTTGGGAGGCTGAGACAGAAGAGTCACTTGAGTCCAGGGCTTCAGGGTTAGCCTGGGCAACATGGTGAGACCCTGTCTCAAAACACGCAGGACTGGAGGTGTAGCTTAGTGACGTGAATACCTGGTTCAGTCCCCGTACCACGAAACAAAACTACACTACACTGAGGAAAGCGGTGTTATACAAGCAGAGTAAACCTGTTGGAACTGCATTTCAAGAGAAGAAAACAGACGATGTATCTTTTTTAAAGTCTTGATTTGAATTGCCAAAAAAAAAAGCTTAAAATTTACTTGTAAGTAAACAATTTATAGAAGATCTGAAAAGCCCTGGAGAACGTTCTAGAAAAGTCAGTACCTAATCATAGTTCACTGGCTCCAGCCAGTTTGGTGCAGTCAGCTTAGAGAACTTAGGGTGCTGTGGGGAGAGTTTTCGGCGGCATTCTTTTCTTCTCATCTTTCTTCAAACATAAAATGAAGGGCCGGGGATGTCGTGGTGCCACCGCCTGACTCGCAAGCACAAGGTCCCGAGTTTGATCCCTGGTACCAAAAACAAAAACAAAAAACATAAAATGAGAAGTACAGTGTGAAATAGAGCCGTAAAAGGTAGATTTTTCTTCTCTTAGCTGAAGTAGAAAGGGAGTTCTGTGAAAAGCCTCATTAAAATGTGTAGCTAGCATAGTGCAGTAAGCAGCAGTATGAATTTTGGAATCAGACTTAGTTTCTAGTTTATTTCTTGGCAGTGCGTTCTTTGATCTTTGACTTCTTTACCTGCCGCTCCCTCCTTCCCTCTTTTCTTCTGCCTTCATTCCTTTCTGTGAATCTGGGGATCGAATTCAGCGCCTCACTCAGGTTGGTGCTCTGCTGCTCTGCCACACCCCAGCCCTGACTTCTTAGTTTAGAAATGAGGATGCTAGTCCTCCGGGCCCTGTTCGTGAGAGGAAGCTGTTTGGCTAATCTGAGTATGAGAACCCTCTGAAGGAAGGGAGGCTGGAAACGCGGGGAGTGGTGCCTTTACCAGTCTGTTTTGTGCCTTTGTTCTCGTCTTCATGGGGTTCTTGAAACCATTAAATGGGGTCAGCGAACACAGTCTGGCTGCAGAGTGCCCTTGGGGAGCGCGGGTTGCTGCTGTCCCTGTGTGGCAAAGGGAGGGGATGCTGCGCAAACGCAAGGACCTGAGTTCGATCCCCAGTACCGCCCCCCCCCCAAAGTCTCTTAGGGCCGGGGATTTAGCTCAGTGGTTTCGCCGCCTGCCGCGAAGGCGGGAGGGGAGCCTGCATGGACTGACGCCATCTGTGCTCCGACGAAGGGTAAACTGGCTCACCTGGTGGGCTGCATGAAGCATTTTGCTTTGAAAGGTCACTAGTGGAAGGCACGCCTCAGCTGCCCTCGGGAGGTGTAGCTCTAGGATGCCAAGGCAAACCGGGCTTGGAAGTAACAGCCTCCTCTGTCCAACCAGAAAGCGGAGTCTGTCGCCAACAGTGCCTCTAAATGACCGAGTGGAACACCATGCCGGGAAAGTTTCCATCCGGCGGACTGGATTAACCCAGACGGGGCTAAAGAGCTGGAAAATTGCAAGAGCAATTAGAAAGGGCGCCTGTATTGAATGAGCTAAGACAAGTTTTGGTGATTGGAAAAAGTTAAAGTAATTAGTTCTAGGGTAAACTGTTACATTTATTGGGGAAAATCTTAAATTCTATAGTAAATCTGTAATTTTTAGACCCAAGGTCAAGGTTTAGGTCAACTGTTAGCATCCATTCCCAACAGAATTTCCCTTAATACAGTTTGGATCTGAGAGAGTGAGTAAAAGCTGCCCTGTAAAGTCTGGGGCTGTTCCCCTCCATTGGTCCATTTACCTTTGCCCATCATTGATGTTGTTGGTTCCCCTCACACGTTATAGCTTGAAACCTGTAACCTTCTAGCTAAAATTTCAGACTGGTTCATTAAAATCCAGGCAGTATTTAATTTGACAGAGGGTTAGGCTGATGGTGGTGGTTACTGCACACCTGGCATTTGTAGAGCACGCATGGTCTGCTCTGTAGCAGGTCTCGCTTTGTGTGTATTAACTCGCTCATCACAAGGCTTCTGTGAAGAGGATAGCTCATTTTAGAGATAATGGCTCTGAGACACAAGAATTTGAGTAGCTTGCCTGAGGTGGAATTGCTGGGTACGAATTTGAATCTGGTCTCTTTGATTGTGCTGCAGGTACAGGCCTTGAGTTACTTGGGCTTTGGTCAGAGTTTGGCTTATTAAAGTTAGAATTTTAAAAGTTTACTTTTCTTTAAACCTCAAATACAACTTAAAAATCCACAGGAAATTTTGGTTGTCTGTGTGTTAGTTTTTAAAATGCATACAAGGGGCCGGGGATTTAGCTCAGTGGTTCCGCCATCTGCCTCACAAGTGCAGAGTCCCGAGTTCGATCCCCAGTAAAAAAAAAAAAAAAAAAAATGCACACAATTGCCTTTCTTTGATGGATGAGACCCTCCTCAGATCCCCTCACAGATTTGGTTAGAGTTGCTGTAACTTTTCAGAACATACTGAGACATTTACTGTACCAGTATTCTCAAGCTCTAATAAGTGAAATGAGTAACTTTAAGTTAAAAAACACTTTAAAAACCCAAAGCATGGGGCCGGGGATTTAGCTCAGTGGTGCCACCACCTGCCTCGAAAGTGCAAGGCCCTGAGTTTGATCCCCGGTACCAAAAAAAACACCCAAAGCTTTTGTTAATGAGCATGATGGTTATACACATGATTAGTACACCTGTGTATGTCTGTGTGTATTTATCTATTTTTTTAATTTTACCTTTTTTTTTTGAGACAAGGTCTCACTATGTTGTCCTGGCCAGACTTGGACTTGTTATGTAAGCCAGGCCGGCCTCAAATTTTCGATATTCCTACATCAGCTTCTAGATTGCAGGTGAGTGCTGCCATGCCTGGCTTTTCCTGTGTGTTAGAAAACAAGTTTATTAACCTAATCGGGGTGGACAGAATTATCACTTCCAACTTTCTATAGAGATTTCAGTTGGAGATTTAGGACTGGGCCAGTAATTCTGTCCAGGCTTGTTTTTTTTTTTTTCTTGGTACCGGGTATCAAACTTGGGACCTTGTGCTTGCGAGACAGGTGGTGGCACCACTGCACTAAATCCCCGGCCCTGTCCAGCCTTGATTTATTGGGTTAGTCTTTTTACAGCCATGGGATTGTC